CACCCACCCACCCATGTGCGTACCCCCACCCGTGTGCAGACCCCCCCCACGCCCACACACCCCTGCCCACCCGTGGGCATCCCCAGCACACACAGGGGCACCCCTTCTCCCGGCTCCCCCGCAGCCCCTGTGCCCCAAGGGCAGGAGGGGGCAAACTCAGGCAGCTCCCCCCAGCCCCCCGGCACCGGGGGAACCGGCAGGGCCCCGGCCGATGACACGGGGGGCCGGCACGGTCCTTGGGCCGCCGGCACAGGGGGACATCCCCGGCGCAGGCTGGCGGGAGCGGGGGGCAGGAAGAAGGCAGGGCAGCGCAGGCAGCGGAGGGCCAGGAGCTGGGGGCCCAGCGCGTAGAGGACGTTGGTGAGGAGGAAGCTCCACCAGACGTCTTCAGGGGTCTGGTAGGGGAAGGGCGTGCGGGCGTGCAGCGAGGAGCCCAGGTGGGAGAACTGAGCCTGGGGACACAGGGCAGGGGTGGCACCGTGGGGGGCTGGCAGCGACGGGCTGGCCCGGGGCAGCCCACCCGGCACCAAAGGGTGTTTCGCAGGAGCACACCCAGCCCGTCCTATCTATAGACCTGCGGGCTGGCTCCAGCCTATTTCTGTCAAACTCATCCCCGGCTCCATTAAGATCCACCGAGGCCAAAGCAATTATCAGGCAGCGGCGGTGGGAACTGCTCCACATGCAGCCGCGGGTACGGATCTGTCCCCCCACGCTCAGCCCTGGCTCCCCGCTTGCTCGCTCCTGGTCGGGACCAAAACCCAGCCCGGGGGTCCCCAGTGACCCCCACCCTGCAGCCGGGGGATGGGCGATGGGGCACCCCTCACCTGGGCGACAGCGCCGGCGAACACCAGGCTCCAGTCGGGCAGCCAGGAGCAGCCGGGCAGCACCAGCCCGTAGATGCAGAGGCAGAAGAAGGGGAGGACGTAGAACATGTAAACCAGCATCTGGGGGGGACATGGAGAGGGTCACCCCGTCCCTGGCGGCACGGGGAGCTCCAGCCCCACCTCGGCCCCACTCACCTGCACTTTGGGGTAGGCGACAGGGTCGCGCAGGTACGGCTCGTGCTGGTAGATGTACTCGAAGCATGAGTCAACGGGACAGTCCAAAACCACCTGGGGATGTGGAGAGTGGAGGGGAGGAGGGTGGGGGGTGGATGCACCCAAGCCGGGCCCCCC